GCCACCGGGGTTCGGACGGGAGGGAGAAGCCTTCTCTGGGCGAGCCCTGCCTGCCCCAGAGCCAGGCCGGCGATCGCTGGAGGGACGGAGGTGGGAGCGGGGGCCGGGCGATTGGGCCCGGCGTCGAGAGGAGGTTCCGTCCTCTTTTCCCCCCTCCCCCGGCAGGTTTGGGGGGGACCAGCGAGCGGGCGACAGCCGTGGAACAAAAGGTAACGTTGCCCCGGGGAAGAGGCTGCGGGGCCCCGGCCCTGGGCGATTCGCCGAGCTCCCCGGGGAAGGCCGAAGCCCTTCGGCAGGGAGATCGGAGAAGGAGCGGGCGAGCGACTCGCCTTTGGGATTGTTGTTTTTCTGCTGGTTGAGGCGGCGGCGGCGGCTGCGCTGGTGGCTTCAGCTTCCCGGGAAGCGGGACCTCCGAGTGTGGGAGGAGGAAGCGGGGAGTCCCACGGCCGATTTCGGAGGGAGGCGCTCCCCATCGCCGCCCCCGAGCGTCGCTTCTCCGGCTCCCCGACTAGCTCGCCTGGAGCCCGGAGCTGCGGCTGTTGCTGAAACTCCGACCGCGGAGTCAGCCCGGGGGAGGGGAGGGAATCTGTGGGGAGAGCGAAGAGGGGCCAGTTTGCGGGAAACAGCCGGGAGCCGCGGCTGTGGACGCGGGATGCAGCGAGGGGGACGCGGAGAAGGAGGAGGGCAAGCTTTATCGAGCCCCCCTCCCCATCCCCGCTTCTTGTCCCTAGTACAATGAAGAAACCTCCCCTCCCGCAGGGAAGTCTGTTTGTGTGTGTGTGTGTGTGTTCGTTCCTGTGTGCGCGCGCGCCTGGGCGAAAAAGCACCTCAGTCCGGACTGGACACCTCTTGACCTACCTCTCTTTCCCCCTTACTTAGCCCCAGTTTCTTCGGGTGGAATAGAAACTGCTCCCCGTCAGCCTACGATGAAGAGCTCGTGCCCTCTGTGGCGGTGCCCGGAGAGTCGCTTGCACGGAGGGAAGCGGAGGGAGGGAGGGGGGGTTGTTAAGAAGCGGTTGTTGTTGTGGCAAGTTTCTGCTCTGACAGAAATGGCGTCAAAGGCAGCGGGCGAGGGGGGAAGCCAGCCGCGGGGGTGAGGCTCCGAGAGCAGTGGCTTTTTGTGGCTGGAGAGAAGAGGCGGCGTAAGAGAAAAGGGAGAACTGTAAGAGGGGGCATCGGGCGAGGTAGGCTGGAATGGGAGGGGGGGAGAAAGAGGGCCAAAACGCCCCCCTCCCAGCACTTGCCGAGTGCGCCCCGTTGAAAAAAAGGAGGATGGTGCGTTGGCTCAGTGCTTTGTTTTAAATTTCAGGTCCAGCCTTGGCAGCACATTCGCTTTCGGATTTTTCTGCTGCAGCCTGAGTTCATCATGAAGGTAAAACCTCTTATGGGCGGGGAGGGGGGAAGAAATGGGGCGTCGCGGAGGGTTATGTTTCTCCGAGCTCCACTCCCTGGTGTGCATATTGTGGCCGTTTTCAGTTCTAGACTGCGGATTATTTCCCTCCTTTTAGCTTTCAGGCAGTGATGTATATATATATATATATATATATTGTTTTTGAACACTCTTGCTTGGTGTGTGCGGAAAGCAAAATGTAAATCCAACATGTTGGAGTTTCTCTTCTGCAACACCTTTTCAAAGGAAATGAGGACATGGCTGCTTAGGCCAGAACTGATAGCTTGCTGGAAAAAAGGGAGGATTTTCTTTATTTCTGTGGTGCTGGGGAGCTTTCTTTACCTTGTTTTGTTTTCCTTCATTGAAATTAAAGGATAGGTGTACTGTATTTTCTTTGTTCTGGAGTCTGGTTGAAGTAATTTTTTTTAAAGTTCCCGGAAGTATCTTTAAAAAGATTTATCTGCTGCATAAATATTGCTGCAAGCAGTAGAGCGTGTTTTGTGTTCTTTAAAAAACGCAAGCTTTTAACCACGGGATACAGTATTTGTATATTTGTCTGTTAATTAAAAGGCACTGACAGTTGGTGATCAGAATCTTAAAAGTAAATGGGATGAAAAAAAATCTGTTCCTTATTTTTAAACTTGCAATAACCACAAGTACAGAATCTGGTGTAGAATACTGATCATGAATATCGTTTAAAAAAAACTGGTAAAGTTGAGTTTCATATAGCCTGCTGAAGACATTTTTGAAAAACTGAAAATGAAACATTGTATAATACGGCAATTGATAAGCCCTGTCTACCAGCTTTGTTATTAAATATTGTAAGTTACTTCATCTGTTAAGGAAGGCTTTTCTTGAGAGATATGGGTAGCTGCAATCACACATCAGCTGTGCCGGAAACTCTAGGAATAACGTATTAAATGTTTCATACAAGTATGGCTGTTTTCAGCTATTAAGCTTCATAATGATTCTTTTTTCCATATGATATTCTTTCTTAAATTAGTATTAAGGTTGTTTGCAATAATGAGAACAAATGAATATTTTAGTGCAATGTCTGTTCATTTAACTATAGAACTTATTTTCATTGTTTATGAAATTTAAGACTGCTTTAGGATGAAATTTATTTTGTTCAGAAATTATGATTACAGTTAAAGTAAGTAGTTATATTTTTAACGGATTATTGACTATGCATAAAATGAACATTACAAAGTACTTTACAATTCAGATGGTGGCTTATATGACACTGATGTTTAATCCATGCTTCAACAAGTGGCCTTCTGATATAAACATTAACATATTTTTAAAAATTAGAAACTGCATAATTATAAATAAGTAGCAAAAGATTATAAATATGGAACACAATGTGATTGTTTAAGGAATGAGCTGCACTTTTGCAAATGAATTATCCCCCATCCATTACTTTTTATATACCACTGTGGATTTCTATAGCAGAATTCAGAATAGTATTTGTACTAGTCTCAGCACTTTGATACTCCTGTTTGAATCTGGTATCTCTTGTGTTTAGAAGCATACATGAACACATTTCTCTAAACTTGGCCACAGCTGGACTGAAGGGCTGGGAGAGATTTCTCAGTCTGTTTATTTTACTGTCTGACTTCTCTTTCAGTGACAGAAAGTTGATGTACTTGTTTCTTTCTTACTATTTTATCCTGGCAATTATATGCCTGTTGGCGAGCATGCTTACATAATGACTAGCTGGAGATTATTCAGTGAACCTTGTGTATGAATAGGGATTTAACCTGAATTTCTTTCTCCCTAATTTTGCATAGTGTGTGAATTGAAGCTATGATTTTAAGTTAATACAGCTAAAATAATATTGAATAGGAGAGAGTGGAATGGATATAGTTTTCAGAATATATAAAATAAGAAATGAATGCTCTTCTTTGGATTAAAATTACAAACTAGTACTCTTCTTTGAATTTGTTCTGCTGTGCTTATATTTATATTTTAAGCTTATATAAAGAACAACATGTTCTTTTGTTTTCATCAGTAAATAAGTTCGGCTTAACCAAGCCTGTTCTGTTGGCCATCGGCTGCCAGATAAATAAAAAACACTGCTTGGATATGATCACTTTTTGTTTCTATTATGTGTCGATAGAATGTAAGAGTTGTCTCAGGATCTTGGTCATATCCTAGCATTCTAACTTTGCAAATGGTGAATAACCCAGCTACTAGTCAATTATCCAACCATTCAAATGACTGTAACTTCTGGCAATAAAAGGTAAAAAAACCTTCTTAAGTCACTTCATAACTCCATCCATCCGGTTTTCTTGGCAATGATAGCAGTGGTTTGGCTTTGCCTTTTCTTTTTTTTTACTTCCTTATTCTACCAAAAGCTTCAGGATTCCCAGGTAATCCCCATCCAGGTAATCAACACCAACACTGCTTACTTTTGAGAGGTCAGTTAGGTCCTGTCATCTGCTGAGCCACTTCTGGCAGTAACAATCTTCAATTAATGTAGAGACAAAAACAATGTCCCTTGGGTCTAGTTGGAAGCTGGTTTCTAATATATTCCCAATTAGTTAACAGTGGAATAATACTGTTTATAAAGTACAGTGATATAGGGATGTAATTGTAAGTTTAGAGTTAAATTTGAATTACAGAAATAAAAGAACTACATTCTGCCAAATTTTGAGCTTTGTAACTTTTTAGAGATAGAGATACAAAAGTGGGCGGGAAAAAGAGGAAATTTGAGATTGAAAGAAGATTACATTCAAAGCACACCTGTAGACATTAATGCTTCAACATTTCAGAATCCCTATCTACTTTGTATCTGATTATGCTAATTTTGTCCTTTGTAGAGGACAGTAGGTATACATAGGAACTAGAATTGACCCTAAAGACAAACAAATTAGGATTTAGTTTAATTTTAGCATATTTCCTAGCTTTTGTGGTGGGCAAACAGAATCCTGATGAAATACATTCTAGTTAGTCTCTTAAGTAATGCACCATGAGTAATTTTTCTGGCTTACTTTTATTTACTTATCTAATTTATAGAGTCAGTGACTCTTTGTGGCATACAAAATGAAATAGTGAGTGGCTTACAACACATAACAGTATATTTTAAATAACAATAAATAACAATTACAAATCAGGACTCAGCTAAAATAAAACTGAAGTTTGATGTATGTTTTCTCCTACTTCAAACTGAAGAAGGTGAAGGGAGGAAGCATTTTCCCAGTTTGAACCCTCACGCACATTCATTCTTGTTGATGCAACTTTATGGATTATCTTTGTTTTTTAAAGTAGTGCATGTTTACATTCATTCTTAGAAGAATCAAGGCTAAGAACTTGTGATAAATATGTGGCTGAATGAGATGAGAAGCTTATCTTAGTCTAAGTTGAGCAACAAACATGTACCAGAAGAGAAAGTGTTGAGATGAAAGAAATTCAGCAAATGATGTTATTTCTTTCCTTTCCCTATCCCCATTGCTTCAGATTTCTGATTTCCTTTTTTTCAGTGAATCGTATTTAGGTTTTATATGTCTATGCAAATATTCAGATTAATTACAGCAGTATGTCACTAAAAATACCTTTCAGAAGGATGTATAAATTTATTGAAATCATGTAGTTTTCTATAAGTAATGTTGAAATGTGACAGGTTTTGTGGATCTCCTTTTAATTTTTTTTTGTTTTTTGTTACTTCTAATGCTAAAATGTTCTGCTTTTATTGCTGAGAGGATCGTGTGGATAATTGCACACTGTTTTCAAATGAATCATGAATTCACTGAAGTAATTTCTTTGATCCCTTCTAAAAAAAACCTTTCTAAAAATGTCAGGTGTGTTTTAATGTTTTCTCAAAAGTAATTATAAGTTAAACAAATTTTTAATTTTGTTGGATTCAAGTTGGTTCTTAATAGGGAAGGTAGAAAATCTATTTAAATTGTATTCAGTAAAAACTATTTCATATTTCCTGAATTAGTTTGGATTAAATACAATTTAAATGCACTTTTAAATTGAGTGTTGCTGGTATAAGAAATCAGAAAGCTTTATTCCTTTTTTTACTCTTCTACAAATAGTAAAACAGTCATCATTCATATGTTTTGTTTATCAATCTATGATAAAATTATGAAAATACATTGAGAAAACTGAATGGCATATATTATGGAAAAGTGCTGAAAAAATGAATGCATTGGTAGATATTGTACAGAAAAATGCATCCAGGTACACATACGCTTAAAAAATAAAGTTGATCAAAAAGGGAGAATTATTTTTTGCAAGCAATAGATGACTTAGTTTGTTTCTAGCTCTGAAAACAAAGCCAGTTATATTCTGATCAGAACTTTTATAAATTTTTAAATCTACGGTTGCCTTTCATCTATGAGTCAAGCAAATGTGACATAATAATATAGTAGCAGAGAATCAGAGTGGTAGATAACATTCTTTATTATATTGGCAAAGTTGTAACCTTTCATATATTGTTTATTGAAGTTAATGACATTTTCTAATATACAGTACTTGAATAGTGCATGCATCCATAATGGAGTCAGGTTATTTGCAAGACCACTTCTGAGACCTGAGGGCATTTGCCTACTCCCTCAGTTAACGAACATAAATTAGTTAAGATTGGACATATTCCAGACTCCCTTGCCCTTAAATGCTATTTGCTAATGAGACCTAGAAAGTGTCCCTTTTCTGTAGCAGCTATTATCTTATGGAATTTCAGGATCTAGCAAGCTTCCATCCTTTTTAACTTTCCAGAAGGCTATAAAGAGCTGGTTTATTCCTCAGGCAGCTAGGTAGAGTAAGTTGGGATCCTGTGGATAATCTTGTTGGGTGTATTTAACAAGGATGGCTAGAGCACCAGGTTTTTTTGTTTTGATTTTAATTTTGTATTGAGTTGCCCAGAATTTTTAAGAGTTTTAAGTGCAGGGACATACCTCTTTTGCACATGTGCAAAATAATTTGCCTTTGTGTGTCCTGACCATTTTTGTCAGTATCCCTATTTAGATATGGTTATT